GGGCCCAAGTTTGCGGCGTGGAGAATCAGAAACCCTAGGGCCGAAACCTGCAAGGCATATATAATCTGTAGCCTTTTTGGTCGTCGTTTTCCCTTGGCGGCTGCTCACTAGTTGAAAGGAAGGAGCAAAGATGGTGTCGCTGAAGCTCCAGAAGCGTCTCGCCGCAAGCGTGCTCAAGTGTGGGAAAGGGAAAGTTTGGCTCGATCCTAATGAGGGCAGCGAAATCTCCATGGCGAATTCCCGTACGTTCTTCTCTACAACTCGTTCTACGCATTTCTGTTCGATTTTGATCCTTTTTCTTCCTCCTTGCGATGATCGTTCTGGTTATTGTTTGTCTGATGAATCTGATGTCTGTTAGGAATCTTCTTTGTGTTGATATAGCTGGGATGCATTTTGAAATTTATTCTGATACACTTTCGCTATCTTAAACTTGAGCTTAAGCTCTGCATAGTAGTTATTGCTACTTGGCGTATACGTCGGTACCTGCTTGGCGCTAGGCTTATCGGGTTTTGGATGATTCGGTGTCATGTATGTATATAGATTTGAATAAATGCTGAATTGGTTTCATTGTTTTTGTGGCTCGATTTAAGATGTAGGTAATGGTCCTTGTTTGGAGAATGATTTTCAATTATGATAATTTTAGATGTTATCTTTTGTTCCCGTCACTGTCTGTCAGAAATGGATTTCATTACCGTTATGTTGCAGGCCAGAACATCAGGAAACTTGTCAAGGATGGTTTCATCATCAGGAAGCCGACAAAGATCCACTCTCGATCTCGGGCACGCCGCATGAAGGAGGCCAAAAGAAAAGGGCGTCACTCGGGATACGGTAACGCTTACCTGCTTTGTTCCGAGTTATTTAGTCATATTAGACCCTGAAACTAGGTGGATGTTATACTCTAGTTTCTTGGCTAGATGGAGAGCTTTAACCTCGTTTGTGTAGGTAAACGAAAGGGTACGAGGGAGGCGAGGCTCCCAACCAAGATTTTGTGGATGAGGAGGATGCGTGTTCTGAGACGTTTGCTCCGAAAGTACAGAGAGGCAAAGAAGATTGACAAGCACATGTATCATGACATGTACATGAAGGTGAAGGGTAATGTCTTCAAGAACAAGCGTGTTCTGATGGAGAGTATCCACAAATCTAAGGCCGAGAAGGCGAGAGAGAAGACTTTGTCTGACCAGTTTGAGGCCAAGAGGGCAAAGAACAAGGCGAGCCGAGAGAGGAAGATGGCTAGGCGGGAAGAACGCCTTGCTCAGGTTAGGACAAACCATTCGCCCTGAATCTATCTAAGATTTATTGATAGAGCTTTGACGAGCAAATATCCTTATAAATGACATCAACCCTTTATTTTGGGAAATCTTCTATGATTTTCGTGTATAGGGTCCTGGAGGAGGCAAGGCTGCAGCTGCTGCTACTGCTGCTACCCAAACAACAGAGTGAGTAACATTTGATACTGGTCGATACTGATTTCGATTCTGTTTCTGAGTTGTAACCATTTTAAAAAAAAAATTCTGGGGTTTGCAGGCAATCAAAGAAGTCGAAGAAGTGAAATGTTCTCTGATTTTGTTGCTGTTTCTTTTTGTCGATTTCGTGTTCCTTGGATCCCAGTTTATTTATAATATAAACCTTTTACGTGAAAACGTTTCTGTCTGTGATACATCCGCTGTTGCCTTTGTCCGCATCTGTTGTGGATCTTGAGCGCCTCTTTGTCCGCATCAGTTGTAGGTTATAAGTTGAAGAACCGTCTTCTGGTTTATATGATTTGTTTTAGAGGTGGATGTTTTGGATTTTAGCTCGATCGAGTTTGATTCACGATTTTATTTTTTGAAAAACGGTATATCAAATTAGAACTAGAATTTGATATTCACTTGTACATTTGTTTATAAGATGAATAATTCGTGTTTTAAATTAGTATTCGGTTTATTTGGTTTTATATGAATTATTTTAAATTTGAACCTAATATTATTTTCTTCAGTTTGATTTCGGTTTGGATCAGTTAGAAACTAAATTTCTGAATTGAAGCATATACCGGTCTTTTACCAATGTGTAGTGTGCACCATTTTACAAGTTCAAAAAATTTAATGTGTAAAATTTCAAAAATTTTAATGTGTTTTACCCATTTTGTAAATATTATTATACAATTTGTAATTGAGCTATCGGACAAAACTGAAAATCATCACGAATCACATATCAATGTCGGTCAAAGTGTCTGACTATAAACGTCGTCATGTTTTTATAATATTTTCATATTTATTTTTGATCCACAGCGTTTTTGTACACCACACGCCCATTAAGGCGCGTAACCGTCACGCAACTATTAAATCTGTGTGAGAAGAGAGTAGGGATGTTAAAATGAGTTGACTGGTGGTGACTCATGAGGTAATCTTTTTTTTTGATTTGGGTTAAAACATTTTGAGTTCGAAAAAAAAAGAGAATCGAACTGGTTCGCCATAAACTCGGCTCATGGCGATCCAGTTCAGTGAATCCACACATTCATTCACGATTCAGAAAAAAATTATTTTTATTTTTAAAATTTTAAATAATTTTAAAAAGGATTTATCAAATATAAATATTTGTATTATTTTAAAATATAATAATTATTATTTTTAATTATTTTTATAGTATTTTTATTATATTTAATATTTTATTTTATTTTTAAGTTTTTTGCATCGCGAATTCGAACGATGTGTTCCGAACTGTTTCGACCTGAATAAAAACGGATTTAACGAACTGGGTTGAAAATGAATTGGTTCAAAACGAGATGGTCCGATCTGGTCCGAGGTGACTGGTTTGATATCGAAGAGAGCACAACAAATTCGATTTCTTTTGTAGTTTGAAATTTTTTCAGTCTATAGTAGATGGATTAAAATTATTTAATTTACAATCTACAATCTATACCGTTAAAAAAACGGTATTTATACATAATTAAAGACATAAATGTAAGAAGAGGAACATAGCATGTGTAGTTTTTCAAGACTTGTTTAGACGATCCAATTCCTTTATACAGTAATATTGCTGACAGAAATGGGTAAAAGAAGAAGAAGAAGAAAAAGAAGCAACCACTAATCATTTACTATTTATTATTCCATTTGGTTGAAACTTCCGTCTGGATCCAAAGCTTTTCAACCTCCCTCGCCTCACTCTTCTTCTGATGGTCGATGGAGGATGAGCTGTCATGTTGCTTTAGTCACATGAGGTCCAGCTGTTGGACGATCACGGCGGATGAGAGGAAGAATAATGTGATAATGTCATCTCTGAAGAAAAAAAAAATGAACAATGAGTGCAGTATCCCTTTATCATGAAACAAAACACTTCTCTTTTACCACAACCAATGAACTTTAACTAACAGGATTCTTCAACTAAGATAAATATGGTTTCTTCTGAAATGAATCGGAACATCTCTAATACACTTTTCGTCATCGTCAACCCTCTTTCCTGACACGGAGAGGAAATAAATAAGGTATCGGGTCTCTTGGTCTTACGACCTTCAGTTCAAGCTGATGGTGATGATGATGACATGCTTTGAGCTCAGAGAGTGTGAGGATGAGGGTCAGAAGGCAAATGACTGACGAGGAAGCGACGGATCATCTCGAAGCTGGTGAAAGTGATAACGGCAGCTGGGGTGGTTCTAAGAAGGTTGGTGGCACAGCCTCTGTAGAAACCCGACAATCCGTCCTTCTGGAACACCTTCTTGATGCAGTCCCTTACTCCTGTGTAGCGTTTTTCGCTGTGGTGGCCTTGCTCTTGCAGCCTTGCTCGCACAACCTGCTCCATTTAAGTCATTCTTGCTTAGGGAACAGTCCAAAACACGGATCCAGGTCTACAAGTACAACCAAATGATGATGGGACCAGCTGTAAAACATGTTGACCCATTTAACAAGTTTTTTGTTTTTCAGAAGATAGAGCGGTACCCATTTTCAGACAAGCCAAAACCAAGGAGATGAGCATATTTGTTTTCATTTAAACATATAGTTTAATGGAATGGGAAACAGAGAATGTCAAGAAGTGGAATTGTTTTCGACATAATACCTCGTGTGGGTAGGTTAATGTGGAAGCAAATATCTTTGCAATCGATGAGGCCACTGCTACATCGCGGGCACTAAGTTTATCCGTTGTTGTATTACCTGCCAGAAACCAGATTCAGTTAAAATCCAAAATATTTCACCTTTTCTTGCCTATGCTTTTTTATTCCAGGGATATAAGGAGAACCTTTCTTAGCCAAATAGATTTTGATCTTCTCATACGTGGGGAACTGAATGGCTACATGACTGATACCGGCCAAAGCAGGCACAAGACCACTGTTGCTCATACAAAGAGAAACAGACATTAACAAAGGCATTCAACTGACAACAGAGAAAAGGTTACGATGTTATAACGCAAAATAAAAAACCTGTATAAGCCACGGATTCCTTCCTCGTGAGCTATTCTCCTCAAGGCAGATAGTGTACTTTTGTATGGTACCACACCTGCTCTCATTCCCTGGGTCTGAGAAAAAGGGAAAATAATACTCAGAAAAGAGCTGTATCACTAACTATGGCTTCAAAGAGAACTGAGCTGGCATTCAAAAACATAAAGGGTATGAATATTCTACCAACATGGTATGACAATTTACTAAACAAACATGCAGCAAACAAAAGTTGGTCTTTCATATAAAACGCTGCAGAACTTGGTTGATTCTATCATGGTACAGATTTGCATCTCTGTTACTTAAGAACTAGATGTAAGGTTCAATACTGTATTACTTTTGTCTGAGTCTTGACATCTAAAATTCAATCAAAACAAGGGCAGTTTCCAGAGACTTGACCTAGCCAATATCTTATCATTTACATTGCAAGCTTGATTCACATGATTGCACATATCAAGCAAGAACAATAGCTCATCACAGAAAGCAAACCTGAAGTCTAGTCTTCACAACCCAAAGAGGATTGGTGGCAATTGTAGTTGCAGCTCCAGCACCAGAGGCAGCTATCATGTTAGCGCCAACACTAAGTTTGTGGTCCTCGTCTATATATGAAGCAAAAACAATGAATGATAAACAGGATATCCATCCAGAAAGGTTGAAACAAAAAAGCAATGACAAACAGGATACCTATCCATAAAAGGTTGAAAACCGAGAAATAAAAAGCACAAACTTTACTTCTAAAATCAACATAAAAAACAAAGCAGAGCAGATGAGCTCGTAGACTAACCATTTGAACAGAGGAAGCTCTTGAGCTGGTCATACATTGTAAAATAAACCTGTCAACATAATACAACCAGTTAATACCAGTTCAGTTAAAACAACCTACTTCCTCTAGATACGATTTCAAGGCATAGGGAGAGGAAATAAGCAGATTTCGACAACATAGGTAACCATGGCAAACGAAAACCATAAATATAAATCTAGAAGAAGCATAACACACCGCCCAATTCGGGAGAAGCGCCATCACTGATGGTGAAAGCCCACGGTATAAGCCACGCATCCCTTCTTTCTTAAAAATATGCTCCAGACTACCAACAATCAAACTACCTGATTGAAAGACAATACAAATTGAGATTGGTACAAGAAACTTATGGGTAAGAAACAATCCTCAGCAACAGAACATATTTTCTAACCAAGATAACATGAACTTGTGGGTAAGAAAAAAAAAACAACCTTTGACGCTTCCATCGCCAAGCTTTGGCAGCCCATGAACCTGAAACCTCGTCTTTATAACATCCAGTGGACATACAAACGTAGCGGCAATAACCCCTGAATCGAATTCAAAGCATCATCCAATCAGGCAAACTTCAATCTTAAATCATCGAAATAGGCTGAGACTTTCGATCAAATTGTGATTAAGTTCTGCAGCCAACTACAAAAATTCCTGCCAAACAAGAGAAATCGGCAAGATTGGAGAGAAGAAATCAAATACCAGCGGCGGCACCGGCGCTGGCATTGCACAGGAGGCCCATGGGACTAGGGCCATGAGAATCGCCGGACATCTCTGCGATCTGAACGAAGAAGAGCCTGAAAACGCGCGAATAATTTAACCGAAGAGAACGACAAGAAGGTTTCCTCTCGCGAGAGAGATTTCGCTGCGAACCAGCGTCGCATTGCCGAGAAGGATCCCGCGACAAATTGCGCGACTTTGTAGCGGCCGAGTCGTCGTCGTAGTACTGCCCGTACGCTAACTGAGCCAACCCGAAGAGACAGGGTTTGTCGCAAATCTCTCCGGACAAGGGCGGAGATCAACACGAGACGATCGACGAGATCGAAGAGAATCGAACAGTCGGCGAGGCGATGTTTGTTCTTGGGGGGGGGGTGTTCAAAGAGAGGGAGGATGAGAATTAAAAGCTTTTTCCTTTTTCCTTTTATTTAATTATTTTTTATATGGCTCCTATTTTTTTTAAGTAAATACTAAAATTCAAAACTTTTCCTTTTCTCAGCCAGACGAAACAGAGCGAAGCCTCTGGCCCCACCACCGCATTATACTTCAACGATAAAGTCCTCTCTCTCATCTTATAATATATATATATATATATATACATGTATGTATAATATCCAAATTTCAATGCGTGGTAGGTCCATTGATAAAAGTGTTTTAATGCACTCTAAACATGTTTGGATGCACTCTTAGTATGTTTTGACGCACCTTAAACAAGTTTGGATGCGCACTCTAAAAATGTTTTGATGCACTCTAAACATGTTTGG